CTAAGAGTTTCACTAGTCGAAAAATCTTGTTCTTTGTAGTGTGACCGAAGTTTTCAAAGTTCACCGGCAATGCATGTGGCATGGTCTTGCTGTCAAGCTGCTGGGCTTGTTGCCAAACGGAAAACAAATCAATTGGAGCAATTTAAAAAAGAAGAGTCTGCTGGTGCACAAGGAAGTTAAAATTAAAATAAATGAAATGTTCAACGAATGTTTTTATTTATGTAAATTAGAGTTAGTTTAAGGCTTCCTTCTCGTCCCACGGATGCTTCGCTATTTTTCCCGCGCCATCTGCAGCCCAGCTCCGAGTCCCAATAGGCTGGCCAATAATGGCTGGTGATGGCTCCTCCAGCTGTTCCTTAGCGGCTGGTCCCAGCTGTTCTCCTCCCTACAGAAGCCGACGCGTCCTGCATCTCCGCTTTAGCTGTCAAGTAGCTGGTGGAGGTGGAGTCCTCAGTGGAGAGCTCGTCGGAGATCGAACGATGTCCCATGTTCCTTCCCACTGGGATTCTTTAGTGGATCTCCTGCAGCGCTTCAACTATTCTGTGGATTTGCCCCGTTGTGGTATTGCTTCCTGTCGGTCAAGTCCCACAACAATGGGCAACAGCTTGGATTTTCATAAGCACTGACCTCCTTTAGCCGTTTTTGGTGTTTTTCTTCGATTTTTAATTTTTAAATTCCCCACCGCTTCTGCACGAACACAGCCAAAGATTAAATTTCTTATTCTTTGGGCCGCGGCTAACGGCGTTCATCGAAAATTCACTCGCGAATTCAGGTATTTTTTCTGGTACTTCCTTAGCTCATCTGAGTACCGCGCTGAAAAACAGAGCCGACGAAAACCTTTAGCCGCCTGTTTGCCTCTCGCTCACTCCTATAGTTAGCTCGCGGTTTTCGTTGATGTGAGTACTAGGCTTAAGAATGAAACAATATCAACGGTTTGGAAAAAAACATTGAAAGTGTAAAAGATAACATTTAGATATTAAGAGCTGTTGGGGCTGGTGGGAATAAATGGCCCAGGTTGTTAGCCAAGTTTGATTCATATTGAGAATACGCGATCAAAAGTTATTGCATAAACAAGATTTTGGGGAACTCCAAATTAATGTTTATTATTATATATTATCTTATATATAATGTTTGCCCCTTTGCTTGTAAATTTGTGTGAATCAATTATTGGCTTAAGGGTCTCGGGGACTTTATAAGTGTATTAAGAAGCTCGAGACATAAAACTTTTGTCTTACGCCTTTTGGAAAAACACGCTAGTTTGGCAAGAAAATTCTAGATTTTAAAGGCCTGTAATTTCTAAACAATTAGTGGTACTGATACGTTCTCTATATAGCTAAAAAATATTATCTATAGGCACTTCTCAATTTTACTCTCAGAACTGGGTTGACCGATTTATTTTTAAATTTCAAACTGTATGGCCCTCGAGATTCCTAAACATTTGATTTTTACCACTTTTTGTCATAAATATTACCATTTGGAAGATATTGATTGATAAAAAATGCAATCCGTTTCAGTTCAGTATGAAAAAATTTTCATGCCCACCTCCAATACGCAAAACTATGCAACTTTAATTTGATAAGATAAATTCTTATTAGATACTTTTTAAGTTAAAGGAAAACATTTACAAGTTTGTCATCGAAAATTTTTTGGTTGATAATTATTTCTGTTTGGTTATAACTTTTTAATAAACGGTACGGTTTGAAAAATTTGTGTCATGTGTTGGGTATTAATAATAAAAACAAAATCTAATTTAAACTATAACAAAATAATAAAAAACGTGGGCGGGGACGGGTCCCAGCGCTATGGGCGTAAGAGTGGTCGTGGCACCCTGCTGAAACAAACTTGCGCTGCACACGAAGCCTAAGAATCTGCATGCTTAATCCCAATATTCCAGCTCTTATAGATTCCGAGATCTTAAAACAGACGGACATAGCTAGATCGACTTGGCCAGTAATCCTGATCAAGGATATTGTGGGTGCGAAACACTTTCTTCTACCTGTTACACACTTTTCGTAGAATCTAGTATAGTCTTTTACTCTATGAGTAACGAGTATAATTATTATGTCTTTATTAAAAACAAACATTCAAAATCGTAAAACTTCCTGTCTGGACAGGCGTATTGTATTGCAGCGTGCCGAATGACAAAAATTTAGAAAGTGTATTTCCTTAGTGGATCTTTAATACATTTTTGTCAAAACTTTAGTATGTTAAAGTAGAAAGAAGCGTTTCCGATCCCCTAAAGTATATATATTCTTGATTAGGATCACTAGCCGAGGCGATCTAATTGTTTCCGTCTGTCCGTATAAACGCTGAGATCTCGGAAACTATAAGAGCTAGAGTGTTGGGACACATTCTTGGGCATCCTGCGCAGCACAAGTTTGTTTCAGCAGAATGCCACGCCCACTCTTACGCCCAAAAACGACTATAGCACCAAAACTAGCTTACGGCGCCCACATTTTTTTAAATTTTGAAAAAAAAAAATGAGAAAGAGAGTTTGTTCTTCAAAGTTATAACCAAAAAATAATCCACATTTATTGCAAATTCAATCCAGATTGTACACCACATCCAGCAGATAAGCTATTTTCACTAATACGCCACACCACCACTAATACGCCACCAGGCTAAGTGGCGCTATAAAAGAAGAAGATAGGTGTCGCTATAGGCTAGGTGTGTTAGTGAAAATAGCAGAGTTGCTTTATCCATCCCTCTCGCTTTCCGTTAAGCTGAGTAAAGGGTATGTATGAGTCGAGGCCATCGACTACAGCGTTTTCTCTTGTTGTGTTTTTAACAAAATCTTCAAAAATGTGGGAGCTAGACTTATTTTAGCTTTGTGGGCATAAGTGTGGGCGTGGCACTCCGATCAAACAAATTTGCGCTTATTTAAAAAGTAAACTATCCTTGGATTTCTTCTAAAGGTTAAAATTAATAAAACGGCAACTATAACCATCTTATAAGCCATCCGCAGAATACTAAAACGATAACGGTATTAACCTTATTCCTGCTCTGTTCTACTGAGTATAAATATTTGGTTCCTGCGTCGTCTTATCCTTAAAGCCACCTTCAATTCAGGGATCATATAACTTTTCATGCCAATAATTTTTTTTTTGTGAACTTTTACTCTCTTGCACAATCTTCTTTTAAGAAAATAGTCACTACATTTGACTGAAAAGCTGCAACCTATAACATCAAAAAAAACAATAATATCGTCATTCAAAAAAGTAAAAATTGAAATTCCAGAAAAAAACTGTTTTTTAGGCGTTACTTAATGTATGAAAAACGCTACGCTTTTCAAATAGTTTAAATTTGAATAAAGCAATATAAATAAAATGGTGAGAGTCTTGTGAATGCCATATATTATTTTTCAAGCCCTTAAGTTTTGTATGGCAACAATAATATTAATGTATACAATGTGACTGGTGCCCCAAAAAAAACAGCCCAATCTTGTCTCATCGGGATAACAAATAAACAAATCTAAATCAACGATTAGCTTTCTAGTTGACCAAAGAAAATTTGACTATATACGGAAAAATAAAAATTTTTTGACAAAAATAAGTGAAGTATCTTGTGCATATAAAACCGCTTCTGAGCAGATTTTAGTCAGTAAGTAAAGTTCCTATGTTCTAATCTTTCAAGAAAGATCACCGATTTCTCGTATTAACTGGATGGTACCATAAGTTCAGACACAATATCTGACACTGTGATTTAAACTAAAATTTGATCGGAGCAACGAAGCTCAAATTGCTTTTAAAATATAAAACTGCAGCACCAGTATTACTCATTTCGAATTGCAGCAATCCCTTTTCCATCTTTTGCGATAGAGCAGCACTGGGTGCAGCTTTGGTTCCGATTTTATTCATGTCCCGAAAGCCTCAATGAGTGCCAAAGGAAGTATACTACAGGAATTCCTTGCTGCAGGCTATGGGCATACATAGAGGAACAGGAAATCACTATTGTCACCGGCCACGCATCTCTCAAATGGGTAATAAGTAAAACTTATCCTAGCAACTGTCTTGAAAAGAGGTCCGAAAGGATTCGATTTTAAGAAACAGGTGAGAACTTTTGGAAGCTATGGTTACCCACAGATTTAAAGGAGGTAGCTCCCAATGCAGCATTAAACAATACTTTGAAAAATTATATTTTTGGCAGAGTTTATATAGATTCTTTTCTAAAGCGTATGTTAACTTTTTAGGCCCATACCCGCGTTGACGTTTTAGTCATAGTATGGTTGATTCTTTTGGCAAAGTATAACATCAATAAGAACTATACAGCTTTTTACGCTTTTAGGTTTTGCTTTCACCCTGATACTCAAAGAAGTCAAGCATGACCAGTGGTTATTGACCACCGTCTTATAAAATTTTTAAAAACCAGATCGAGCTTTTTTAAATGATCGAATAAGCCGGTAGCTAAGAAACAGCTATAACAATGTGTAGGCATATTCGTTCTTTTCACAAAATCGCTTTTGATGAAAGTACCACGCAAAAGATCAGAAATAATAAGTTGCAGTTGTCCTTTCCAAAGTGTGATTTCATTCCCAAAATACGATTATGGTGAGGGTGATAGTGATGTACGTACGTTATTAAGTGGATCAGACCCCATGACAAACTTTTCACAAAATAGTCCGGTTTGCACGGTTATTGGCATAAAGTCAGGTGTCGCAATTGTCAAAAAAAAAACGCTTCGTCTGCTGCCCAATATTAAAATAAAATTCAAAGGCATTTATATTGCCGCGGCACCTAAACATATCTCTCGATTATTATAACATACTTTCCAATCGATCATATCAATATACTGTGTATAACTTAGTACTAAAGTCGGCTAAGAGTATCACTAGTCTAAAATCTGGGTTCTTTGTAATGTGACCGAAGTTTTCAGAGTTCACCAGCAATAATTGTAGAATAGTCTTACTGTTAAACAGCGTGGTTTGCTGGCAAACAGAAAACAAACAAATTGGAGCAAAATAAAAAAGTCTGATATTGTAGAATAAAGTAAAATAAAAATAGTTGGAATGTTCAACGAATGTTTATACTTATGTAAATAAGTAGCTTATAGCCTTTTTTCCTCCTCCCAGCTACGCTTTAGCTGCCAAGTAACTGGTGGTGATAGAGTCCAGCGATTCGCGATAAAGAGGTCGTCGGAGACCGAATTACATTTATATATCTATTAATACGACTTTTGGCCAGAACCGACTTTCCTTGCGAGGACAAGTCCGGCAGGAAGTCCCAACCGGCATGCTCCTTTTCAACGGACTCCAGTGGATCTTCTCCAGCATTCCAGAGCTTCCAAGCCAGCTTGAAAGTATTATCTAAGCATAATATATATATATTGTTCATGCTTACAAATATTTAATAACGCAAAATTATTACTTACAATCTTTGCCTATTACCGGCGCTACCTCCTGCCAGTTTTTTTTTTGTTCGTTAATTTCTTGTTTCCAAACTGCTTTTGTTCGAACGTAGCCAAAGATCAAATTCCTTGGTTCTTAGCTTTAACTAACCATTTTGATTCTCAAAAAGAAACAATTTTTATACCCGTTACTCGTAGAGTAAAAGAGTAAATTAAATTTGTCGGAAAGTATGTAACAAACAGAACGAAGCGTTTGCGACCCTATAAAGTATATACATTCATGATCAGGATATCTAGCCGAGTTGAACTAGCCATGTCCGTCTGTCTGTCTAGGCTAAGCTCACTCTAACGCCTATAATGCCTGTTTGAAAAAGGTGCTTAAAAAAGTGTCAGTGTGTAAATGGGACTTTACTCTTATTATCAATACCCATTTACAGGCCTATTATTTAAATTGGAACATACATAAAATGGAATCATTTGCCTTCATTACTGGGGATCTCTTCATAAACATAAACGTATTATTAAAAATTATTATATGAGTATGAATTAAATAAACAATTTTTACGCTTACACTCCCTGAGTTCTCTGTATATCCTTATTCTTTATCTGATGTCACCTTCTTTGTTTAAGCTAATAACTCACCAATCTGTGTGCCGCATGGCGCGTCAGTTGTCGGTAGGAATCAGCAAATGTATTTATAAATAAAGAATGGAGAAACGTAGCAACAGATTTTCATGTTTCCTCCTGCCCTTCTTCGATTTAGCAATATAACTAAATTTAGGGACCACGGGGCAGACAGACAGACGCTTTTACAAAACTACCAGTTCCATTGGGCAATGCAGGTATATGGATAGTAAACACTCACAAAAGACTATTTAGATCAAAACTTTGTTACTAAATGGCATTCAAAAATATTATTATTCACTATTATTGGCCAGCGAAAATATCGCAAATTCTCAAAGCCCCCGTACGACACTCTTAGCGGATGCGTATGCAATGTCGCAGGCCGACGACAACGGAACACAACGGCAGCCGACTTAACACTGGCATCAGTATACCGTCGTGAAAGTGACTTCGGCTGCTGCATGCTAAAAAGATAAACAAATGTTACGGCTGTACAATGTTAACTAGCATTTGTTTATTAATGTAGAGTTAACAGATCCCAAAGCTGATCCTGAGGTACATACATTTTATGTTTACCATGTGGAAAGGGCCCCAAAAATGCACGTTGTTAATATGGAATATAAATTTAAGGAAAAACTTACAATATTATTAATATTATCATTAGTCACATAAATAAAATTTGTTAAAATAACACCCATCTTATATAGTTAAGTCCAAAAATTACATTGATATGAATAAATTTTCTTATGAGTACGTGTAGGTATTTTTTAACATTGAATTAATTTATTGCTGCTCGTTCTAAACGAATGTATAAGTGTTACGAACAATTTAATTGTATGTTTAATAGAAATAATTGCAAAAAAATTTCATTGCCTTGAAATTGTTTAAGCAGGTTAAACATTCTAAATTTCTGGATATATTTTTAATATACAGAAAAACTGTTAAACTATCATGTATAAAAAGGAAATTAAAGAGCCAATTGACATTTTATTTATCTTCCAATTGAACTATTTTTAATATACAGAAAAACTGTTAAACTATCATGTATAAAAAGGAAATTAAAGAGCCAATTGACATTTTATTTATCTTCCAATTGAACTATGTTAACCAAGTAGGTTTTTAATCCCTTAAAATTTCTCGTTATTACCCCTGAAAAAGCTCACGCCATAATATCATCCTTAAGACAAGAAACTGTAAAATTAGCAAGTCCGCTATAGCCAATTTACATTTTCCATCTTGATCAGTTTCGGTATTTATCTTCCAATTGAACTATGTATGTTAACCAAGTATTTTTTTAATCCCTAAACATTTCCCGTTATTACCCCTGACAAAGCTCACGCCATAATCCAAAGTCCAAGCAATAATCTGAAACCCCGGGGCAGCGGAAACTTGACTCGAGCGAAAAAAATGTGGCGCCACGCAGGCGAAAAAGTAACGTAAAATACGGTGAAGTCCAGGCCGAACCACATAGGGCAGCAGGAGCAGTCCTTTTCCATGGGTTCATGTCTAAACTTTTTTGACTTTGCCCACCAATCCAATAAGCAGTTTTCTGCTTTTTGCTTTGGACTTCCCATTCAAATAGATTTTTCATATAACCAGGATTTTTCTGAATCCCAGAAAAGGTTTTTCTCAAAACCAGTAAAAACAAGGAAGAACGCTATAGTCGAGTACCTCGACTATCATCTGATACCCGTTACTCAGCTAATGGGGCCAAAGGGAAATGGAGATATACAAGCAGCAAGGCGAGATTGAAATGTGCCACCTACCGGCGGTAGACAGATTTAAGCGTTATGGGCGTTAAAGTGGGCGTGGCAAATTTCAGCAGAGTGCCACGCCCACTCTTACGCCCACAAACCGCCCAGAACTGTGGCTCTTACAGTTTTGATGCTAGAATAAAAACATTAACTGAAATTTATTGTTATCGTCAATACCTATCGGTTGACATAAAAAAAAATTTGCCACGCCAACTCTAACGCCCATAACGCTTAAATCTGTCTACCGCCGGTAGGTGGCGCATTTTAATCTCGCTTTGCTGCAATCTCCAATTCCCGTTGGTCCCTTTGGCTGAGTAACGGGTATCTGATAGTCGAGGTACTCGACTATAGCGTTCTTCCTTGTTCTCAAATAAAGTATGCCAATGCTATGACTAATTCATAATTTTATGCAAAGAGCAAAATCGTGTGTGCATGAACACCGTTTCAAGAATTTGATAGCACACGAATGATGACTATGAATTCCGCCTATATTCATGAAATTCTAAGGCACAGCCTACTTTGCTGTAATATGAAACCTTTGCTGATATAATTTTATGAATTTACATGTGCTCTTCCAGCAGAGGTTGTTATACCCGAAACTCGTAGAGTCAAAGGGTATATTAGATTCGTCGAAAAGTAAGTTAGGAAGTGTAAGGAAGTGTTTCCGACCCTATAAAGTAATACAAGAGTATTCTTAATCAAGATTATTAGCTGAGTCAAACTAGCCTTGTCCGTCCTAGAAATTCAACTTGCCTCTCGAGCGATGTTACCGGCGGGTCGGCAGCGGCGGATGCTGTCTTTCCCTTTCCGGCAGCAGCAGAGTCCAGACGAAATTATACCTTAGTTTAGTTCTTACCGAAAAGTATCGCGTGTGACCTCCTTGATTGCCGGTGTGGATTTCTAAGTGGATTTGCCGTGGGGTCGTGCCAAGACTGGTGAATCCATTAAAAAAACGGGGAATGCGTATGCAGTTTTGTTATTTTATTATAGGCGCCTATTATTATAGGCCCCTATTATATCGGCTCGAAGCGATTACCAAAAGTCCCCGAGAAGGCGCTGGGGAAGGAGATACTAAAGAGGCAGTTGATATTGGGCGAAGCGCAAGCGAAACTCGGCAGCCAGGCTGGAAATTCTGCGGCGGCAGCCTGTGGAAAGGCGTTTTTTGAAATTGATGCGGAGTACCAAGCCATTTGTGACCTCTGAAACCATGTTGGCATAGGCCGAACAAAAAAAAGGAGGAATTCATAGCTTTAAAGTGCAAAGTCCCGACCTACAACAATAGATCTGAAGTTGAGCAATAAGAGCATCCGATACCGAATTCGAGGAGAAAGATAGGCGGGGCTGCGATCAAGCGAAAGCTTTTAGTCTTTCGCACGCGCCAAACCTCGCAGGTCTCCTTCGTCGCGCTCCACCGCGAAAAAAAATATCAATGAGAAATAGTTTTAATTTGTGCTAAAGAAAAAGATTTTCAAACAATTCGACAGTTCATGGAGGCAGAAACGTCGGTTAAGTAAAATAAGTGTTAGAAGAGTTTTTTTGTTGTGCTTGTAAATATGTGGTTTGTTAGTGTATTAAGAGTTGGAGAGTTAAAGGAGTTAGAGAAAAAGAAAGAGAAAGGGTGCATCGGCCGATTATGGAAAAACACCGCTCTCGAAATTGTAGCTAGCCCCCAAATGTCGTTTTTTTGCATTTTTTTGCTGCGTCGGTTTGTCTATCTCTTCTCTTTTTCTTCTATTTATTTTTACCTCTTTTTTCGCAGCCGTCCGTCATCCCGAGAAAGGCGTTTTCGTCGATGGATTCTAAGCAGCGCTGAGTCAAAATTTTTTCATTTGAAGAAAAGGGGATAGAGAGTTAATAAAACAAGCCCGAAGGCAGAAAACAGAAAAACTAATGACGGAAATGTAGGAAAGAGAGGATAATAAGAACGGCCGAGAGAGCAAACGTCTGGCCGAACCGGAAGAGCGTGATCTAAAAAAGCTTGATCGCGTTAGATTCCAAGCTCTTCATTTGTTTTGATTTTGGTTTTAATTGTGTTTATTTACCAGTCCACGAATTGGCTGAAGATTTCTATTGAAATATCTGCAAGCATGATAAATTCGTATTATTACTAATTCAGGCCAATTCCGCCACGTAGAATTCAGTGTCATATTTTACTATCATTTTTTTCCAAGCTCTTCATTTGTTTTGATTTTGGTTTTAATTGTGTTTATTTACCAGCAGACGAATTGGTTGAAGATTTATGTTGAAATTATATTTAAAAATTTTTATTACATAAACCGCTTATACCTGCAAGCATGATAAATTCGTATTATTATTAATTCAGGCTGATTCCGCCAAGTAGAATTCAGTTTTAAATTTTACTATCACTTTTTTTCTAAATATCTTTAAGGTTAAATTTAATTTTAAATATTTGTGTACTTAAATGAAAGTTTACATTCATTTCCCTAGGTTAAGTTACGTAGTCTATAATAAAAATACTATAACGTGCTAAGAAAAAAGGGGTCGCTCGTACTATGTCCGTGGGAAAGGTGAGCAACCATTGGAAGGTGGGCGAACCGTGGACCTCTAAAACACTGAAGGAGGCCCGTGAGGAAGTAGATAGCCAAGATCGAGGGGTACATTTTTCCAGCAGAACGTGTGTGGGTCTCTTTTCCCGGTTTAATTTGTCTAATAGGCATCAGTGAGGTCGAACAAGATCTCCACTGGGTTTGTTGACAAACAGAAAACAAACGAATAGAAGCAATTTAAAACAAGGAAGAACGCTATAGTCGAGTACCTCGACTATCAGATACCCGTTACTCAGCTAAATAGAGATATGCAAGTAGCAAAGCGAGATTAAAATGCGCCACCTGCCGGCGGTATACAGATTTAAGCGTTATGGGCGTTAGAGTGGGCGTGGCAAATTGTACATTTTACAAATTTTACCAAT